GTTCTTTTTCCTTTTGTCTTATTAGCATGTAATGAAATGATTGGTCGATATTTACATTTAGAGAAAGTCCTGATTGTCCACATACATGATATCCTATTTGGGCCATTGAATAGATGTACATAAATGTATATATAAATCACATGTCCAGGGGAGCCTCTTATTTGCCCCATGTAACTCATGTAAAAGACAGCTCTTCTTCACATTGCCCTGCACTTCCAACTGAGGTTTACCTTTTTGATATTTATCAACTGCCCCTAAATGAACCCTGTGCTCCAGCCAGTCTTGATTTCTTGTGTCTGGAGTATCTGTGGGTGGCATAGATTTTACTGAAGATTTTGTAGGAGAAAGAGCTGAAGGTTTAGCATGACACTCTGCAGAGCACAGTCACGCAGAGCCTCTTTGCACCGTCTTGTTGTCCCTGTCTGTGTGTTTGTTCTCCCAGTGAGCATTCAGCTCCAGTCTTCTCAGATCCTAGTCTCCTCTAAATCTCTCACCCCTTCAGCAGAGCACTTAAGCCTGGCAGCAAGTCTGCAAACAAAGGGCCATCCTATGAATTCTCCTTCCTTAGGAGGCAGTGCCAAACTATAAATACCAATTATGAATAACAATGGGGAATTACAAATAATGGGGAAATTGGCGTTTTTCTTATTACTTTTTTCTCTTTGAAAGTATTTGCCTACCCTAGAATGAGTACAGTGTTGAACCCTTCTTTGAGCTTGGGAAAAGAGAATACAAACGCAACATTTCTTGGACATCCAGACATCATACAATCCTTTCTCTCCCCTCTGCCGTCGTCTTTTCCTAAGGGCTTGAGTGGGACTTTTCTCTGAAGTCCTTTTTGGGACACTGATTCTTGGTTGCGTATCGCACAAACCTCAGGGGGACCCTGGGTGCTTGGAGACTCTCCATCTGTGTTTGATTACAGCAAGGCAGCATTAGCATTTTAGTGACTGCAAAAGAGTTTGCAGCCTGAGTTTTAGGCCACATGTTTGTCATACTGTGTATCTGTTCCCCATCAGGTAGTAAGCGCCCTCTCCCCTTCAGGTCCTTCCTAGAGGGTTTGCACTATCTTTGTTGGAGCTCCACTGAGCTTTATTATGTTTTTTCTCCTAGATATGAAATATAACATCTCCCTGGCCTCTTCTGAATTTCTGATCCTAATTCCTGAGAAATCAGGAAAGATTTCCTTCACTGGTGCAGTCTGCCACAGATGTGCGTATTTGCTATACTCAAAACAAATAGGAGTTTCTTCTGCCTTTCAGGGCCCGTGCTTTTTTTTTTTGAATCTACCGCACAAGAATAAGGTCTGCTTATTGCCGTGTGGTCATATTTTTATCACATTTGTGAACATGACACTTTCTCTACCAGAAGCAAAGTAATTGGCGTAGTCTCCTGCTAGCACTCCGGACTTCGTGTGGAGATCCTTTTGCCCAAATGAGGGAAACCCACTTATACCATCCCTGGGATTCTGTCTTTTGAGAATTCAACCTTTGGTTGAGGAGTTGAGTCACACATGTATTTACTTTAATTCTCCAATTCCTAACTGGTGACATGATCCCAGACATTATTTTTCCATAGCAACTGGTGTTACCTTCTTCTCTTTCTTCATCCAAGTTAAGCCTGACTCGCAGCAAAACTCATGGGCGTCCCCGCACTCTCAGATGAAGTCTGAATTTCTAGAGTAGTGAACTACTCTCTCAGCAAGCTGCTTCAGCCAGGTCTGATTTTTCAAATTGGGCTCCATAGCATCTTGTCATTCGGCATGCTACAAAGAGGGCTGTTCAACTTCCTGCTAATGCGTGGTCAGAAGGAAATCTGACGTGTGAATGTAGGCAGTTCTCTACATTACCTGAGCTTTGACTCTTCAGACTTTGCCACGTACTCTGTCAGGGTAGCATCTGAGGCTTTGAGACCAAATATAATTCCTAAGGCTGGAAAACTTTTCATTGATCTTTATCACTTTTCTGCCCTAGAAGCCTGCCACTCCTCCAACATTTGAGTTGCCTGTCTAAACACAGTGCAAAATGCTCTTCTCCAGGTTCTGAAAATGTTTCTGCAGTAGCAGTGGACCAAGGGTTCCTATCTTTAACTGATAACTACCCTCAGAGTAGATTCCCATTCTCTCATGGGAATCCTGGTTTAACTGGTAAATCTGGAAGGTTTTAAATCATCCCAAGTATTTTGCTAAGGATATTCTTTCATCTTCCAGAAAAGGCTAATTTTCCTTAAGAAGTCGTGTGCCCATAGTGGCTGGAATGCATATCAGTTTCTTACCTATTCTTGCACATACGGAATTTGTAAGTATCACCCACTCCAATCTCACTTAATGCTCTGTAAGCCTGAACATCTCATCTCAAATGGAGCACCCCACCATTTGATGTCAGAGGAGTTACCATAACTTCTTATGCTATTATGAGGCAGTAGTCCAGCATCATCATGAATCAGTCTAAACTCCCAAGCACCATGTATCCTAGCATTAGATAATCATGGGGAGGATACGTACACCATTGGTGACTCGGCCCTGGGGTGATTATTTACTGAGAGAGACAGCTCAGTGCCGTACCTTAGTTCAGAGAATTGGTTTTTCCAAAAAATAAGCTAAGATACACTCATAGTCTAAAGCTTAATTAGTTTAAGGAAGAAATGGAAAATGTTTACTTACCATGACCGCTTTTTTTCTTTTGATTTATGATTTTTTAATTATTTTTGGGTATATGTGGGGAAGATTGGCCCTAAGCTAACATCTGTTGCCAATCTTCCTCTTTTTGCTTGAGGAAGATTGTTGCTGAGCTAACATCTATGCCAATCGTCCTCTATTTTATGTGGGGTGCTGCTAGAGCGTGGCTTGACAAGTGGTGCTAGGTCCACGCCCGGGACCCTAACCCACAAACCCCAGGCCACTGAAGTAGAGTGTGAACTTAACCTCTACGCCATGGGACCGCCACTATGTCCACTTTTTAATTGTAAAAGACAACAACCATTAATCCTTTAGTCATAAGGAAATTAAAATTGCTGATTAACAAACAAACCCAGACATGGATTTCTCCCTCAGTGTTCCTCAGCTAATATATTTCAGATAATTTTTAACTTCCATCTAAACCTATAAAATCACAAAATACAGATCATTTTATTTTTATTTAGTGGACTGAAATCTAACTTCAGATTTTCCACACTCAAACTTTAAAGAAAATGTAGGTATTTTAGCAAATTAGAGTTGTGAGCAAATTCTTCCTAGAAGTGATTTAAAGTCACAGGAGGATAAGACTTTGCAGCTGTTTTTTGATATATTTTCTTCTTGAAAAACAAGAGCACTTATTGATGCCCTTTTAAGATATGAATACTGAGGTCCTTTAGAGTTTTTCACATTAGCATTTTGGTAAAATGTTTGTGACTCAATACATTTGTATTACTCCTTCTGTAATGTGTCTTTTCTTGCTCGTATGATATCACTTTCTTCAGTTTATTTTCAAGTATAATGATAAACTACATTAACGTTCCATCTGGCAGAGGGAATGTTTTAGAAGCCAGTTTACTTAATTTTGTGATCTAAAAAAATTTAACAATAGAATAAATTGTATATCATCTTATGAATTATTTTAGTATCTACTTTAAGAATGTTTTTTCCATAATTTCTAACCTAACATTCTTCTTAGTATTACATTTTATTAACTCTAGAGAAGAAGAGCCAGTAACTTGGGAAGTAATATAAAATAAAATTAAAGCTATTAGTTCCCAAGTTGTTTAGAAGAAAATTAGGTTTAATGTTGGTATAACTGAGATTAAACATTCTATATATAAAGTATTCTTCCATAAAGAAATTGGAAACTTGATACAAAAAGAAAACTTTGCTGTGGATATTGCCATCCATCTTTTCTTTTGTTTTTTTTGGTGGAGGGAGGTAGTATGTTAAAATATCAAGGCATCATTAATTTCCATAGTCAACATAAAGTATAAGTAAGTTGACTACATTTGAAAGCATTAAGGATTTTTTATTACTGCTTATACTGAATTGTTGATTTGATCAGACGGTACAAATAAAAATAATGAAATCGATTTTCTCTCTTACAGACTTTGATTTTTTATTTAATTTTAGTTAATATCGTTAATATATTACGGTAACCAAATGCACGATGTTCAGAACCTGATTTTATAGTACGTGCTATAGTGCTAGGAGCTGAGAGATAGGTGTCTTTAAATATGAGGTTGTCAAGAGTGAATCTCATTTATTATTGGCACCTACTACTTAATTAAGGTGTTATGATTGCTCATGGTGTGCTGAGATTACATGGAATAAAACTGTTCCTGTGGCTGTCCCCTTTCTTTGTTGGCTCTGGATTATTTTCTCTTCTACATTCCATTTCTGCTGTCATTTCTCATAGCTCTGCCTCACCACCACATCCTAAAATATAATGTAGGGACCATGATTACATCTTAATGTTTATTCGTAGTAATGACCCTCCACTTCTAAATTTTTATACAAGGTTAAGAGAGGGATGGATAGATTTAGTAGCTTTTGAACATTAATGAAGGTGTCTTTGCACATTTGCATTAAAATACTAATGCGTGTTAAACACAAAATCTGCAGTATGATTTTCCTTTCGTGACAGAATAGAACACATATTAAATACTCTTTAGGTGGGAGACTATTTAGAAAGAGAGTGATTTCCATTCCCACATCTTGAACTATGAAAGTCAAGAATGTTTTCTCATAACCAGAAAAATCCACTGGGGTTCCTGCTCCTCGAGTCTCCATTCTGATTATAATTACAGAATGTTCAAAAAGGTTGACTTTTGTGATTGGGCTTATTATTAGTGTGCATATTTTTATTTTATTTTCCGGGAGTCGGGGGAGGGTGGGGGAAATACACATTTAGTGAGAGCTATTCATTAGCCACCATTGAAGAAGAAATTGAACTTTAAAGAATCTATCAAAAATTCTCTGGTGAGCCTTTTATTACTATCTTGTCTTGAGCCCTTTTTTTAATGACATCTATTATCAGATTGAAATGGCGATTGAGACGCTGCAAAAGTCTGACGGTCTGTCCACTCACAGAAGCTCTCTTCTCAACAGCCATGTAAGTTGCCTCTTCTTCATGTAAACTAATCTCTTGCTTGTTCTGCATGTGTTGCTTGCTTCTAAATGCTTGTTTTATTTATTTACTTATTTATTTTGCTTCTTAACCTTCCTTTCTCAGCCCCTTATAATCTCTGTATCACTGAATGGCTATTTTGAACAGTGGAATGTCTGAAAAATAAAACCCCCAATATACTACTTTACTAGGTTTTTGTACTGTTTTGGTACAGATATAACATTTCCAAGTTAATATCAAGCTGCCATTTATTTGTAAAAAGTAATTATGGAGATTTGAAATATTTAAAATTTTCTAGTTTGATATTTATATACTGTGAAGCAGATGTTTGTGATCTGCATCTCTGTGTCTGAGACAGACAGATAGCCGTGTCTACTTGTATGACCAGTAATATTCTTTAAGTGGAAAAAAGATTATTAATGCCAAACCTGTCTGAAAATGATTTATTTATCACTAAGACTGTATAAGATGGGCATGAAACAGCTACCTAGATGAGCTCAGGCCCTAAGACCTGAAGAAAAATAAAACTGGGCCAAAAGAAGAAGTGAGGCTCTAGACAAGCCATAAATTACAAATAATTGAGATAAAGGAGGATTACTGTTTCTATTTCTTGAAGCTTTTAAATGTTACCTCATGCAGCATCACTGTCATACTGGTAAGTGTAAGAAGAGTGATGGCAGTTTTGTTAAACTATAAACATTTTCACTAAATGTTCAAATTTTGGGAAACCAATGAAAATGCTGATTAAAAATTATTTTGTTACCATGATTTCTGAATATATGGGAAAAAATAAATAGACCTATGACTTAAATCTGTTCTGGATAGATCTTCTGCTAAATTAATATCCATGACAATGTAGTAAGAATTAGTTTTCCCTCCCAGCTCACAATATGTTCTTAAATTTAGAGATAAATTATTATCAATTTTTAAATTCTTCCCCATATTTTGTGACTGAAAAGTCCAAAATTGGATCACTTAAATGAAATGAAATATTATTTTTTAGTAAACCTATAACCTTTAGCTCATAGAAAATGTCTTCACTATGCTTTTTAAATATCTGAATTTTCAAACATTTAAATTTTATTTTCCGAGGCTGGCCCAGTGGCGCAACAGTTAAGTTCACATGTTCCGCTTCTTGGCAGCCCGGGGTTCACCGGTTCGGATCCCGGATGCAGACATGGCACTGTGTGGCAAGCCATGCTGTGGTAGGCGTCCCACATATAAAGTAGAGGAAGATGGGCACAGATGTTAGCTCAGGGCCAGTCTTCCTCAGCAAAAAGAGGAGGATTGGCAGATGTTAGCTCAGGGCTAATCTTCCTCAGGAAAAAAAAAATTATATTCCAACATAACACTAAACACTTCCTTATGTTCTTTTTGTCTTGTTTTTATTTTCAAGGAGAAGTATCATGGCAAATAAAAACAGGTTAACCAACTAGAGAATGCCTGCAATTTTGGTGAAAATTATAGATTATAAACTTTAAAATAATATATATTTTGGCCCTTCTTTTCGAAACAGTTTGAGGAATCTTATTTTTTCCCCCTTTCTGAAAATTTGTATGCACTGTGTCACTCTTTCATATGTTTCAGAAGTGCATCCCTGCTGTGATAGCATGAGTCTGTGGTTGTGTGAAAAGGCTGATTTACGGTAAACTGTTAGGGTTTATGTTTGCAGAGGAGTGATTACTAACTGGTGTTTGTGTTTTGAAAATGGCAAGTGAAAATGTTGTTTATTTTTAGGCAAAAAAGTGTAGGGACGTAAGAAAAAGAAAAAAAACCCTGAAGTTTCCAGTTAACTTTTTTGAACTTTCAGACTTCTAAGAAGTTGTGCTTTGATATTCAATTTACATTTCATCTTCATTTGCCATATATAGTTTAGTAAAATATGTGATATATTTAATTTTAACTTGAATTACCTATCTTAATTTAGTACTTTCATGAACAATAGTATAGGTGTAAGAAAATGTTTTTGGTATACTTTTATTTGTTGATTTGTTTGAAACTTTTCAAATACGTTGGGATTTTTTTGAAATTACTATTCTCTTGTAGAATTCATGAAATAATATTTAATGTTAATGAATGTGTGAATTAAGCTGCATAAACAACAGATAAATGTTCATTACTCCATGGTTTCCTATGTTTTATTACACAGAATAGCAGCTCTTCCATGCTGTTTACAACTGCCAGAGGCATCTCAGTATCTAGAAAGAGTGGGCGTAAATGTTGCTGATGCAGTGATAATCTTTCTCTGGATGTCCTGATTCCTTTTTATTACACCTCTGAAGTACAGTTAAATTCATTTGAAAGCACATTTATAGTCAAGTCTTTAGAAATACAAATGATTCTACAGATGGTAGGTAAACAGTGAAGAAAGGATTTTCTGCTGACCAGTCAGGTTTCGTTTCTCCCTGAACACAAAAGGAGATCCTGTTGTCTTTCTGTCCCTGGAAAGTTAGCAGTGCTCCTAATTTTTGTTAGATTTATTCCAACAACTGGAATAAGCTACTGCACGCTTTCTAGTTGATAGCCACCTGCTAAGGGTATTTTAAATTCCGTTGATGATTTTCACTTGTGTAGAAAAATTTTAGTGGAGAAGTTTTAAAAAGAAGTTGTTAATATTTTAAGTGTCAATAAACTATGCTACCTTTATCCCTCCCTATATAGGATGTAATATAGAATTATCTGAGGTTTATGGGGTTCTTTGAAGTAGACATGAATTCAACTTTATGATAATAATTCCCTGACTTACCAGTTTCTACAAAACATCAATTTCATTAAGCAAAAAATTAGGAGAAATTATCAAGAATTTGTGTCTCGTATTTACTAGTTTCTAAAGAGAGATCTTAATTATGATTTTTGAACTGAAAGTCTGTTGTCATTCTATTTTGGAAAATGGAATAGACAGATTTCCTATTTTCTCTTTGTAGATTTGATTATTCACAGTAGTTCAGAAAATTCTTGTTACGGTCAAACCAAATAAATAATCCTCTCTGATTAGGATGTAGCTTGATTGCTTTGTTTTTCGCCTTTCTTTCTACACATGAAAAGATGGAGTAGGGTATTAAATTTCGTATCCCTTTTTCAGCATATTCTTGAGGTATTTAGTACTGCTGCTCTATTTTTATCATTATCGTGCTATTATCATCCAGATTGAAATATATGTTTCAGTTTATAACTTGTCTATGAATAACTTGTCTGTTTCATACCCTACATAGAGCTCCATCTGTGACTGAGCACAGTTACAATGAATGCCATGTTTTATTCTTTTAACTATATTAATGTAATGACAATTATTTCAGTAGTAGCATTGCATAGGCAGATAGTAAGTATTTATTGACAAGTGAAAGTTCCAAGGGAGTAAGGATTTTATATGTTTTGTCCACTGATGCATTTCTAGTGCCTAGAACAGTGCCTGGTACATAGCAGATACTTACTAAATATTTACTAAATGAGTGAGCATAATAAACAAGTAAAAGAAGGGAACAGACCCTATTTTACCTTCAGTATTGTAAGTACCTTTGCCAATCATGTGTGCATTTATTTGTGACTCAAACATGCATGGTTTTGTTAGCAAGTATGCTTCAGTAGGTGTATGTGTGAACATCATTGGTAGAGAGTGGTCTTCTCCCTGCATACCATTTGAATGAAAGAATATATGGTCACTCTGTCATTTCCCCATGCGCAACCTTCACTTTAAGAGCAGTCACCTTTTTTTCCCCAAACAATTTAAGCCTTTAAAGAAATTATAGACAACCGTGACATCATTTATCTCCTTGTATTTTAGAATGATAATTTTGATTTAGCTTTATAGAATTCAGTCTGTTAGTAAGTATAATAATTTTTATTTAAATATTTTTATTTCTAAATTTTTTGTATGTGAAGATGCTATGGGTGAATGATATATAGTCTGCCTAAATCAAATTAGAGTATCTTAATTCTCTTCATTGCAGACTTTTTATTTTACGCTTCTTTTCAGTTGTAATTAACATAAATTGACGTTTAATGGTTATATTGTATCTAATTTAAGATTTTTTAGATTGTAAGTTTGAATGCAGCAATGTTTTTAAATTAATTGTTCCCAATTTTCCACATAATGTTCTTAAGCTTGTACATTTTTTAAAACTCCATTTAAAGTATATAAAAAGCTTTAGGCATTTATTTTATATGCTTTTTACAACCTAGCAAATAATTGTTTCATGATTTTTACTGGTTTTAGCTACTGAGATATGTTCAGCTCAAAGCAAAACCTTGTTTTATACCCACTCTCCCTTGACTTTGCTATGTTATAAATATAAGTTATGACAGAAATAAGACCTGTCAAAATGCATATCATCAGTGAACTGAACTTAAAATGAATCCTAATGGATAATAACCCATCTGGGAAAAAATGCCAAATGTTATATTTGGATGTTAATTGGGGAGTACAATATGTATTTTTTTTTTATTTGTCAATCAGTGTTTCCTTTGGGAAAAATAGGAACTGTTCATCTTCCTTAATCTACCCTGATTAATATAGATTAAATGAAAAGGTTGAAAGATGCAATTATCTTGGTTTCCACCCTTATGTGAGTTTATGTTAGTTCATTAGTAGAATAATCAGGTTTTAAATATAAATGTTAAAAGTTCCTATGGTATTTTATGGGCTTTGAAAATCGTAAATGTAAACAAATATTTTATAAGACATTTTCTAAAAGATAAAAGAAATAGTAATAGTTTATTTCTAAATTACTAAATGTTAAGGGTATTGAATTCTAGTGTCCAAATTTTAATAAAGGCAAAACCCAAGCAAACAGTGTATCTTATAACAGGCGTTAACTTCCCTTGGGCAGCGCATGGAGTGTACGCCTTTAGGTTACGCTTAACTGCTAAGTTTCTCTTACAATAAAATTAATCGTTTCTTATACTACCAAGTTTCTCTTACAATTAAATTAATCGTTTCATATACTATGTTTTAGACTCAAATGTCTGATTTACAATTTCGTCACTGTGTCAAAACTTAAAGGATAACTACTGGCGTTATTTATCCCCAGCCGAATCTCAAAGTCTTATCTGATAGGTCTTAATCAATTTGCACTTGTACATGAGTTTCCAAGAGCACTACTCCTGGGCGGTGCACTTGTTGGCCGGCTTCCTGGCTGGAACAGCCATGGCTGCAGCAGAGCCACCTCCATCTTTCAGGGCTTTTATCTCCGCTTGACCTCCTCTGCTCTTCCAAAGTGATCTGCAGGCTTCTGGCAAGTTCCTCCTCCAGCAAGCAAAGGCCAGGAAGCAAAATGTAGCCTTGCTTCTGTTAAAGTTATGATCACCAGAATACCCACTCTTGTGGAATTTTTCCAACCAACTAATGGTTATTTTATATATTTGTTCACATGTGTATCACACACATATATATTACAAATAAACTCAGGTTTTTAATAACTGGTTTGAAAGGAAGAAGAATCTTTAAGAATGTAAAACTATATAATAAGAACAATTTGCAAAGCAATCACTCCAGATTATGTGACTTGCTTAGCCATTTCTGAGGACCACATAATCAATCCAGTAAAAGCTTCAGTTTCTCTAACTTACTCATTTGCGGCTTGAGTAAATCATTTAGGCGTCTGAGTATTTTAAGTGAATTTTTTCTGTAATTATTTCATTATGTCTGTGAAATTTTCTTTCAAATATTTTATTATTGCATTTGCCTTTTCAAATTCTTTTATAAAATTTTTTATCTACAAGACAATTTACTTGATTATGAGAAATTAGTAAACTCATTTTTAGAGAAAGTATTTTTAGATGTTAAGTAATTAAATATAGCAAGAAGATTAGTAAATAGCTAAGGCAATTTACAGAAATTTTCCATGTGTATCTGGTTAATTAAACATTATTTTTATTTGCTTAATAGCCTATTAAAAGTATTTTACATCAGATCTATTTTTATTATTGGTATACTTTTGGTTATAAAGTTCATGTTATGAAATTGATTATTTTCTGTTTCTGAAAAAAGAGTGTCTCTTAAATTCACATTTCCTATATAGAGATATGTTCTGTTCATTACCAAAAGAAATATTTGATTTTTTATTGATTTTTTTAAGAAAACATACTATTTTGGCCTTGACAATATACATTTTTTAATGAAGATACATAGGTATACGTACAAACATACCTTTAGTGTTTTTAACTTACACGTATTGTGTGTTCCATGGATGCTTCATTAGTTCAGTTGCAAACTATTGCTGTTTTTCAAAAAATATTTACAGTTTTTCTGTTTGCCTTCCTGGGAATTTTTTTCCTTAGTGTTTTCTGTGTATTCCTTGATCTCACGGAACTGAATTCTTCAAAGAATATTCCTTTGTATATTTTTATATTCTATATTTCTGTATTCTTAATATGTTAAGAATACCAGCAGAAGGCCCTCTCTAGTATATGTACATAGAACAAGACCCAATCGTGCAATATGGTTCACTAGAGCTGTCTTACACCATTCACTTGAGGAATCAGTGCTCTCAGATCCCAGTCATCTTACTGAGGCTCGTGGATGAGAGATGTGCGGCAGGTTTGTATTGCCACATTTTATGTGTTGTCTCCTTCAGTTGAGTTCATAATCAACAAAGTCTTAAAATTTTAAAAGAAACACTAACGAGACCTCCTGACCCACTGTTGTAGGCAGAATACTGCTCTTAACCTTAATAACTTGGTCTCCCCATCAATTTACCTCGTCTCTTTTACGCTAAGTGAATATGTATAGGTAAATTTACTCTATGTGTCATTTAGAATACTCAGAAATCATATGTGAGTACCTCTAGGAAACGTGTTTACTGACAGTAAGGTTATGGATGATTTATATCAAAAGAATTCTTTTTGACCTGTAATTTTTTTGTCCTTATAAACGTGAATGTTTATTTTGGGTAATCTTTTAAAATTTTTATAGGGGAGAGTTGTTTATGATACAGAGGCAGTAGGTCTGTTTAGATGTACAGATTCATATGCATATGTGGTGCATAGAGAACTTCAAGTGTTCCTGACCAGAACATGAATTTTATTTTTAAAAATGCTCTGCTCTATCTTGTAAGCTTGGTGGCCATATTTTCTAAGCCAACATCAGTGTGGATTTAATGACAGAAGTTTAATTACATAAGCGTCATGTAGGAATATTTGAAATTAAAATGGTTCTGGAAAACTCACTTGTCATGGTTAAAGGCACTAATTCTGAAAATGTTTTTAATGAATTTTCTTATTAAGAGTCTGAAGGTTCTGGTTCTGAAATTGATCACAAATCTTAAACTATGTAAGCAAAATGGAGAAATGCTTTAATTTATTTCAGTATACATATTATCATTTTTGGGATAGGATTGTAAATTCCTAGAGGACAGGGGTGAGAGCACATTCATTTTTACATCATTGGCTGCCTAGCATATTGCCTGGCTCATAGTTGATGCTCAGTAAAGGAATTCATTGGCTTCCATAACTTATATTTAACTTGAATTGATATTTGGATATAAAATATCAACTCTTTATGATACTTCTTATATATGGCATGAAAATTTTGTTGAGACAAGTAATGTGAAATATTTGCTGCTTTTGTGGAAATAACAACTGGTATGCAAGTAATCAGGAAATGTGTGTTGGAAACCAGACCCAAGCACTGAGACTGTGGGCCCTTATGAAAGTCATTTAAATCTATTTCAGTTCTCTTTTTGTAAATAAATAAGTGAACAAATTAATAATTTAATTTCCTAATGCTGAAATTCAATAATATAACCTAGGTTAGATTTTCTAAAATTTTCTTTTATGTTCTATATTTTAAAGATCCTTTTTTAAAAATACACACAGAGACAGCATAAAACTTTAAAATGTGAACTATAAACTAAGAAAATATTGCTTTGCCGCCTTCCATTGTAGTGTATCTTCCAAAATTATGAAAAAAAAACCCGTAGCTTTGAGGTATAAAAATACAGATGATTGTATAAGTGATTCCTTTTCATTACACATAATTTTTTTTTTTTTACCAATGTCTAGTGAGTTTTCTTCCTTCTGGGGAAGAAATAACTGAACTTTTTCCTTTCTGCTTGCAGAATTTGTCCCAGTAGATACTATTTATTGTATTATCTTGTGAGCAAATTAGATAAGTAAATTAGAATTCTATAAAAATGAATGGAAGCTTAATATAAAACTTATACAAGGCAGCCTGCTGTTCATGTGTTATAACAAACCAGTGCTAAAGACCTACTGTGTGATATGTAGCCAGCCTTGGTAACGTTTTATTCTGTAGCAATTATAAATTATATTTATGACCAGTTATAGGATTATTTGAATTTCCCAGAGAAGTGTCTGTCTCCGAAATAGCAATAAATACAGGGAAAATTTGTATGTCTTTACATATGCTTGAATGTTTGCAGGAATGGACATGGTCTAGGATCATAAGTGGTATTCAGCTATTTACATTTCTGAGAGTTTTTCAAAGTCAGATTATATCGGCCTTTGAATTTCAACAGTTTACCCCATCACAAGCCTTCATGAAGATCTTCTAAGTATTTCTGTGTATTGTATTTGCAGTGTCTTGCAGACATTGTGGTAAATTGTATGATTTCTCTGTGTTCTTACCCTGTGTTATTTATACTAGCTCCAGTGGCTGTTGGATAATTACGAGACAGCAGAAGGAGTGAGCCTTCCCAGAAGCACTCTCTACAACCACTACCTACGACACTGTCAGGAACACAAACTGGACCCAGTCAATGCTGCTTCTTTTGGAAAACTAATAAGGTCAATTTTTATGGGGCTACGAACCAGGAGATTGGGAACTAGGTTAGTACAAAAAAATAAGATCGTAAACTAATCTCTCTTTTTCAAACTAGAGCAGTTCAGTATATTGTTTGATCAAAAGTACTTGATTACAAAAGTACTTGATAACGTATAAAAAATACAGAATTAGCTCAGCTTATAAAATCCCTCTGGAAAAGGAAAGATCATTATTCAGTGAATAGAAAACTATGCTTCAGGAAGATTGTTGCTGAGCTAACATCTGTGCCAGTCTTCCTCTATTCTACGTGGGATTCTGCCACAGCGCAGCTTGACAAGCAGCGCTAGGTCCACACTTGGGATCAGAACCTGCAAACCCTGGGTGGCCGAAGCAGGGTGTATGAACTCAACCACTATGCCACCGGGCCAGCCCCAATCTTTTTGGCCTTTTTTAACCTGTTCATTGTGAAACCATACATGTATGGAAGTAAAAATATAATATAGTTTCATTGCATGGAAGCCAGTAACGTGAAGAAGACCCTTAGTTTCTCTGTTTCCTTCCTTTGGAAATAGATATGTTTTTACTAATCAAAATATGATGAAACTAATACTTAGAACTGTGGAGCATCATTTTTGCTTCTCAATGCTTTTTAAAAATTATCATAACAAATGTTTTAAGTCGCTGGGCAGAAAGATATGGATGTTTTTGATTCCCTAAATCTTACAGAAATCTATATTAAAAAGTATAAAAATAAAAATGCTACTCTGTAACATTGGATGATATACCTTTAGTTAGTTATGTCACCCCTTCATAGTATTTTAGTAAAGAGTTTTTAATATTCTTAATAAAATAAACAAAGCCTTAGTAATTGACTTCATTATAAATTTATACTGAAAAAAAGAGTGTGTCAGTTTTATGTATTCAAAGTGTGACTTATTCCTTTCTGTTGCCTTTCTTCTGATTGCACAGCTTTCAGATTGCTGGAGGTTCAGTTCTTTCATAAATATATTTTCTTCTACCTGTACTTCAAAAGATAGTATATTTTAAACTGGAGAATATGATTGTCTATTCAGGCTAAAGGAACTAGCTTTCAGTCTCTTGAAAAAAAGCTTTTTGTTTCTCTAGTATTTTTTTCCAAAACCACGAAAATCATTATTTGGGGACCTAACCTACTATCTCCTAGCTGATGGCTCAGTAGTTGTGCATACTGTGCCAATATTTTGAAACTCTGGGCTTTATTCAACATTCTAATAGCTGTATTGTTGTGCTTCTTTTGTTGCTGAAAGGGATTTCAATGGATCCTATTTTGAGGCTCCATTCAAACCTTGAAACACATCTTTAAAATAGAAGGGAACAAAATTGGGGTTGTTTGGGTTTGTGAATGAGTAGAATCCATACGCTATAAGTACATATTGCAATATTGCAGCTTTTACTTTCTGGTGCTCTTTTTTTCCCCCCGTCTCACCATATAACAATTATTCTCCTGTTCCTTTTAAAATTGTATGTAGTGTTTGCAGTTAGGGATGGAAAGCAAAACCTAGAAGAATAAGGCAAAAAGAAATCCTGTGAGGAAAGTTTAAACAGATGCTGTGTTATGAAGATAGCAGAACTCTAATATAGAAACACTGACGATGGTAGTGGTTGAGGTACCCAAGATTCTGTCTACCATGGAAACTGTTTTAGCATTCACTGTCCACTCCTAACCTAGGAACAGAAAGAAAATTGGTATAAACCATGAGGCAGACTAACTCAGGTACTTTTTTTTTTAATCAAACTGTATGTAGAACTGTTATTTTTCCATTAATAAAATTATCTGGTGAATTTAGTCAAACCAGAACCAGACGTTTTCTCAAGTTTTTGGACCTAAGTAAAAAGTAAATAAAATCACCATCTTTCTAAACAAAGGCAAATCAAAAGACACCTTTTGTTAGATCCCATTTCCAAATTAAGTTAAAGCAAGGAAGACCTGGGACATGCTGATCTCTCCTGAGCAACTCCAATGAAATAGAAAGAACCATCTCCCCACCAACCCAACCAACCAAAATGCTGATTTCTAGGAGGCTGAAAAGAAACTAGACCCTTTGTCTATTTTGGGGTCTCACAGAGAGAAATCATTTTACTCTGTAGCTTTGTCATCGGCCAAGTCCCCTGGTTAATGTCTTCTGCTTCCCACTCCATCTCTGCTCCCTACGGGAGAACCTAATTGGGTTGGTGGTGTTTTTTATTTTTGTTCTTTTTTTTTGCTCTGTTCTGCAGTGAGGATTTTGGAGACAAGATCTGATCTCTGCAAGTGGAAGGCCTTTCTTGATAGGCATTAAGTTTTCATACTAGTTTAGTTTGCTGGAACAATATAGGTATTCAGATGCCCTACTTTATTTTTTTTAACTAGCAATAATTTATATAATCAGATTTTAATGTCTTTTCAGATATATGAGGTCCCTCTAATATATATTCTTTAATCTTGGAAATAAAAGTCTGCTCTATTTTTATATAAAATATTTAATCCACACTCCCCTTGCATTTCTTTTTGTAAATGAAAGAAAAAGTTGGAAAGAGCACTGTCTTGCTATATATATAGACTTGTGAAAAACTAGTATTTTTTTCTTTGCAAAAATTTACATATTTAAAATGTTATTTTTGCAAAAATTTGCAAATTTCATTCAGAGCAAAACTTTGTCATTTCTAGTAACAAACATGGTCTTTCTCATGAACATGGGGGAATTGTGACAATTTTATTCCAGGTGGAAATTTGCCATTTTCACAGAGAAATTTCCCCATGTCTGTTGTGACACATCTTGTTCAGCCTGTAAAACTGATATGAATCCATAAAAACCGAAATTAATAAGATATGTTTTAAAATCAATAGATTAAATGCCTGCTTCTTTTTAGGTTTCAAAATATTAAGTAATAGACTTCACCACAACATCTTGTATCATTGAAGTTATCTTCACCATTTCTGCAGTAATAAAACTAGAAAAATGCAGAACTTATCTAAGACAGTAGAACTAAGATCTTTTTCCTGTTGTTTCTATGTAACCACTTTATAATAAACTTCTATTTAGTGTGCAACCCTTTATCCTGTTAATGAATTTTTATTGGCCAGAATTTTTTTCTTAGCATTACCTCTTCTAACTTAAACTTAAAATATAAATTTGAAAATAAAATATAACTTAAATGGAATAAATGGGCTATTTGACAAATATTTATATAAAAATTTATAAGGAAAGATTTTTCTTATTTTGATTCTTTAGAATGTAGCCACCATAAAAATATACAAGTATCCAGAACAGGTAAATCATAAATATATAACATTAATATGCTGCTTTTTCCTAATTTTTCCAAATGTGAAATTAAATGGACATCCTATATGATTAATATTGATTTGACTGACTTTTTGTGTCTCTAATGTTTATTATTCTTTTATGAAGAGGAAACTCCAAGTACCATTACTATGGGATTCGTGTCAAGCCAGATTCCCCTCTTAATCGTCTGCAAGAAGACATGCAGTATATGGCTATGAGACAACAACCCATGCAACAGAAACAAAGGTAGACTCTGGAATTATCACTGACGTGTCAAGGCTATGTATTTCTTTAGATGTTCGGTCTCCATTTTTCTGAACAAATATAATAAATACCTAAGTGTGCAAGAATTGTCACTCTTTTTGGCATGCTTTTACTGTGGACAGTTCTCAAATTCGATTTAGAATTTCATTCATCCTGTCTACTTTCCAAATCTTTTAAAATTACTTATCAGTCAGTCTGTTTGACCCTTTTAATGTTAAATGTGACATCCCAAACTATTCAGACAAGGAAATTAAACACAAAATGTAAGGAGCTCCCAAGCAAATACCAACTGGAGAAACTTGTTTCAGTATTCATGAATTTCTTACATGCTGTTCTGTACATCTCTCAAGTCATTCTTTTCAACACAGTATAAATTCTTGCAGAATGTTTGGGACTTCTTAATTTTCTTTGAATCCACCTTTCATAGATGTAGAATTGTAGATATTAGAGCTGTAAGAGATCTCAAGCATTCATGGATGGATGGATGGATGGATGGATGGATGAATAGAATCATAGATCGTAGAATTGAAAAATACCTCATCTAGTCTGGCCCCGCAGCCTTGTGATGATCAAAGCATTAATATCTCTGTGTTTCAGATAAGTCCCAGAGAGGTTAAACGATTTGCACAAGCCCCTAATACTGTTACATAGCCAAGGGCCTTCTAGTCTCACATGACTTATATCACAGTTTGGCGTAAATAAAGTAAAAAATCTCTCCCTCATTACCCGTATAGCTCAGCCATGACAGTAGTTATAATTTCTCTTTTCAACTGAGCATGCAGAATTAGGTAGGAGAAGGGAGGCCTACACATAGGTAGTCAGATGATCTGCATCAGTCTGCCTAATCCATTGATCTGGGGTGATTAGTCGCCCTGGCCAGATCTCCTCCACATCCATCCTAGCTTAGTCAGAGGCATTAGGTCTAAGTCACTGCTGGAGAAAGAATGTAGCATGCAGTAGTCCTTTACCTATCTATTCAGCAGTCACTGATTGAGTCTCTACTATGTGCTGGGCCCTGTGTGCAGAGATAAGTCATGGCCCCTACCTCTGAGGAGCTAAGAAATTAGGAGAGGAGGCACATGGGAATTTTCTTTTTGAGTAATCCAATCTGAGAAGTGCTAAAATAAAGCCTTGATCAAGGAGCTATTTGAATACAGAGGAATTTTCAGCAAACTCGAGGAGAAGGAGGATTGGGAAGTTCTATAGAGAAAGTGCTGTTTGAGTAGGGACTTAGAGGGATCAGAAAAAGAGAGGAACATTCAGGCAGAGGGAATAATGTAAACCAAAGCACTGAGGGGTAAAGTCTGTGATGTCTTTAGTAAATGCTCTGTGATTTGTTGAGGTTGGTATTGCAGGAGGAGAATTGAGAGGAAGCTTGAGGAGTTTAGTGGGAGATGAGATTTTAAAAGTAGTTTGAATCATAGATTAAGGGATTTGGTTGTATATGAAGCTAATAAGTTTGTTCTTTGTGCAGAACATAGCTTTGAAGCTTTGTAAGGTTTTGAAGCCAAATAATGAAACTTTCAGATTTTTTCTAGAAAGATGACTTTTTTATTTTGGGCAAGAAGTATTTAGTGGGAGGAGATTAGAGGTAAAGACGCTTGTTAAGTGCTTTTAACACAGTTGTAATTTGTAGTGGGAGTGTTCTGGACTAAAGAGTCAGTTCAAGATTGGCTATTTTATAAAAGTTTCTTAAGGGTTTTAGATTTTTAATTTTTTTTTTATTTTTTTGAGGAAGATTAGCCTGAGCTAACATTTGCTGCCAATCCTCCTCTTTTTGCTGAGGAAGATTGGCCCTGAGCTAACATCCGTGCCCATCTTCCTCTGCTTTATATGTGGGATGCCTGCCACAGCATAGTTTGATAAGCAGTGCATGGGTCTGTGCCCAGGATCTGAACTGGTGAACCCCCGGCTGCCAAAGCAGAGTGCTCAAACTTAATCACTGTGCTACTGTGCTGGCCCTATAGATTTTTAACTTACATATTCTCAGTCTTAATTTTTAAATTACTGATCTCTATTTTTTGAGGTAGAGTCAGTGAAATATATTAAGAAGGGCTCTGAAAAAAATGTTAAAATAAATCATAGGACAGTCCCTTATATGGTTGGAAATAGAGTTCTTGTGAGTTGTGATAAACCGTTATTGTTTTGGGTTATGATTATTTTTTCCACCTGTTAGTGGCAACACTTACAGCTTTTACTTTCTACTGTGGTCTCTGCATTCATGCATAGCAGCACTGCATGGTGGAGATGATGGTGAGATCCAGAGAAAAAAAAGTTTGATCCAAAAATAACATACATTCAAACTTAAATATGAACAAAAACGATAAATTGCACCTAAGACAGCTGAAGTCTACTTCTTCCTGTGATTTAATTGCAAAGAACCCTAGCAAGTTTTCATGGAAATGGAAGCCTTCAAGGAACATTTTTAATAAAAACCCTAGGTTAGGTAAGCAAAAGCTAGGATTTACAAAGGTCTCCTTATGAAACAGATTCCAGAGCTATAAAGATTAATGAGCCATGAAAATCCATCAGCCTCATTATAGTAGTAATTGCTTTTAGAATTAGATATAATATGGATGTATTTAAAAAGTGACATAAAATTCTCAGTAGTATTAGTAAATTGTGCGGACTTTAGTATTTGCGTTCTTATGAAATAGGAATGTTAGAGAACCAAAGAAGTACTGAAACTCCCTTTAAGTTTTTTTTTTTTAATTATAAAAGTTTTGAATTATGGACAGTTGCTCTTGGAATGATGTCTTGATAACTGATTGCAGGGTTAGTGTTATCAACTTCACAGACCCCTCATTGGAATTAGCAGGACAGATGGAGGTTTGTTGTCTCTCTGAAGGATTCTGTCAACTGGCGACATGATAGGCCTTAAGTGAAGCCAGTTATCCCCATGTGCAGAAACACTGGGACAGGAGAGGAGGGGTTTCTCTCCCTAAGTCTGCGTGGAAGGGTTAAGAGAATTTGTTGAAAATAGTGGGGAAGAAACTTATTGTATCATTTGTTTTATAGCTTATAAAATAAGATGATTCCAAAACTCAAATGATTTTATTGAATAGATTAAAATTCACATTAAAAGGGACTGACATTCTCTTGTTAAAATACAGGGACATGTGAAAGGTTTAAAATATATTATAGCAGGTACTAGTGTTTAATATTTTAGAATATTCAAATTGTTTAAATGCCTCAAGGTTTCTTGTGTGCATCTGTATGTGCACATCTTTCATAGTATAAATTTATGTATTTCATGTGTTCTTATGGTAAGGAAATTCAAGTATATGCTGTGATTATTTTATCAAAGTGAAGTTTTGGAGCTCAATTTGTGCAGTTTTCTGATAAGTTTCGAATCATAGTATGTAGTTATAGTGGTAATAGTGATTATTGTTTTGTATAGCTTTATCATTTTTAGAGCTCCTTTACATAAGGTATCTTATTTCAAGATATGATAGGGTAGTAAAGGAAATTTCCACTTCTCTACAAATCATATTCCCAGCACCACCACCATATGGAATATAGCTATGAGTCTAGAAATAAATGGAAACAGCTTCTGATTGAAAAACAGATGTCACAGAGCCCGTAGTTTAGTTTAATTGAAAAGATGAAGCCATCTTCAAGCCATTTACCTAAAATAAAGGAGCAGATTAGAGCCCACTTGATTCACAGGCAATCATGAGATATAACAGCTGGCAAGAGGAAATACAAGTAGACAAGGGTCTTCTGTTTACTTTTGGGTTATTCAACACAGCAGTCTGTGCACATTCAGTGGAGGGACAAATAGACCTAGGCACTTCAGTAGGCCCTTTGAGGATCATTCTAGTGATTAGAATCTAGTCTGACACAGTGTAATAACTATTTTGCTTATTGATGACATTATAGGTAATCAAGAAGAGGTTAAGGAAGCACAGCAATGTGTAATAGTTGAAAATATTTTCATATGAAAATAACTTCTACACTTAAATGAGATAATCTTCAGTTGTCAAGGAAATTCACTCATGGACTAATTTACTTACCCTACTTTAGACAGTAAATAAATTAGGTTGTTATACAGCAAAAAGGAGATCAGTAATTTTCTTTTTTTTTAAAGATTTTTTAAATTTTTCCTTTTTCTCCCCAAAGCCCCCGGTACATAGTTGTATATTCTTTGTTGTGGGTCCCTCTAGTTGTGGCATGTGGGACGCCACCTCAGCATGGCCTGATGAGCAGTGCGATGTTCACACCCAGGATCTGAACCAGCGAAACCCTGGGCCCCCGCAGCAGAGCACGCAAACTTAACCACTCAACCACAGGGCTGACCGCAAGAGATCAGTAATTTTCAACTCTACAAACTAAGGAAAAATGTTTGCTGCAATTTATTTTTAATATTTAAAAGAAGCTCATAGAGAGTGTTGGCACATATGTTTTAGGTATTCTTCCAAATCCTAGTAGCAAAAGAGGTGTTAGAGCCAGGTGCTTTTGACAATGTTCTTGGCTATATTTGATCTCAGTAGCCATTCTCAAGATATTAATTTGCGTTTATCATTCTTTCAAAAAATACGTGCAGATACATGCAACCAACAGTTGCATATAGAACATGCCCATCACATCTGAAAGAGATATCACAGAATCATAGAATGTTATAGCTGGAATGAAGAGATCACTGGTCCAGCTCATCCTCTTGATGAGAAAACTGAAGTTTGTAAAGGGTAGATAATTTCTGCACGATCGTATAGCAACCAGGACTACTAGAACCCAGTCCTCTTGTCTTTATTCTTATAAGAATTCCACCCTTAAAGAGGTAAGATAACCCAACAGGAACACACACATGTAATAAAATTTTTGCATATGAAATAAAGGGAAAAGTCACACTTTAGTAAGTATGTCCCAAATAAGTGGGGAAATGTGCCACTTCTAGCCTCTTTGAATGGTCTCTTCACAGGAATTGGATCCTGTGAAAGAAGGACCCTTCGTGGCACTGAGGGGAGGGATAGAGGCCACAT